TAATCTTCCAGAACTGCCCATTCTGTCACCGCGCGCGCTACTGAAGAAGATGCCAGAGAGATATCAATAATTGACCCTCTTTGACCACTTCTCCTGAAAGTGGATGTATTGCCAGTGTTCAGGATAGTTAGGTCGAATCTAGCTGCTAGATCAATGATCGCTGTACCTCTCGAACAGGTCCAATCCATACCCCATGCGGTCGATTTTGCATTGAAGTCGCCAGCTAAGACAACGTTGTTGCCCAAGTTTTGTAAAGTCTCTTCCAATTTGTCTAACTTCGCCCGAAATATATCAACTTTGTCGTTCGGAGACAAATAGATGCTTACGTAGGTTCTCGTTCCAGTCTTTAACCATACGAAACCGTTTTCAGAGCCATAGTCGGATACTGGGAAGTTGGACTTATTGATAACCCAAATTGCAGCAGTTCCGGTTTGGTCTGTGTACCAGTTGGAATGTTTTTCATTTTTGTACTGCTCAGAAATTATGACCATGTCCACCGCGTATTCCTGCGTAGCTTGTTGAAGCACATTTTGAGCCAACTTGGACCTGTTCAAATTACATTGGAGGATACAGGCCATGGGTTTGGTGGCTGTTGTTTAATCCTTCTATCCTCTGGACACCAGGCTTGATATCCTTGCCTGGTTCACCAGTTTCCTAAAACCAGGACACCTAATTTGGTCTGCTCGATGTCCAGCTGTCTTGCAGGTAGTGCAAAACGAGGTGTTCTTGCAGTCTTTCCGCTGGTGTCCTGCCTGGCCACAGTTCCTGCATTCACCTCTTCTGTCTGCTCCAGTACACCTTTCAGCTCTATGGCCAAACTCTAGGCAGTTGAAACAGCGCAAGATCGAGACCCGCTCCTTCACCGGCCATATAGACCAGGTGGTCACTATACGTCCCTTTTGAATTAGGTGCTTTGCTGGTATCTTATCCATTACCACCGTCGCCGTCTGGTTTCCAAATTTACCCACTTTTAGTGCGGCTATCCGAAAGCGAGAGCCCTCAATGCCGGTGTCAGTCGTAATGGCTTGCGAGACTTCTGCCGTCGTTACCGAAGGGTCGATGCCAAACACAAAAAGAGTGACGTCCGAGTTCCTTGTGCGTGCATCCACCTCTTTGACCTTCGACGTTATTTCATCTCTTAAGGCATTTGCCTTACCTTCTCCGTCCACCACAAGGACTAGGTCACCATTTTCTTGTTTCCTTATGCTTGTGACATTTACATCAATCTTCTTGATGTCAACGTTTTCTTTAACTGTTCTGACCAATTCCGCAAAAGTTTTCCCTTGCCCTTTAACCACCACTGTTTCCTGACGTGCTCGACTTTTTTGTCGGTCTGGTGGCTTTGTTTTTGTCCTGCCTACTTCAGCTGCTACTTTTCCTTGTACAGCGTACTTCACCTGTATCCCACTTTTCCTGAAAACACACTCCAGCAGTTTTCTAGTGTAGTTTTTATCCAGTTCCTCCGGAGTAGTTACAACTATTTTGTGGCGATTATGCATACATAATTTACAATAAATAGTGAACATCTAGTACTAGTACCAAAATGGAAGAGATTAGCATAACATCTCGCACATCGCTGCTAAAGCGAGATCTGCACACCGCATTTGCCGACACGAAGGGGTTAGTAACGGCGTACAATGTAATATGCTAATCTCTTCCATTTTGCTACCCGAGTACAGCAAAAATAGCCAATTCTCAAGAACTCTTTTTCTTGTTCAAACGGTTCTCTTGTGCCTTCAAGATCACATCGGGATCGCGGATTGGCATATTTCTGCTTTTCCTGGGATCGACCAGTTCTGGGAGCAAGCAGTTCATGTAGAAGAATTTCTCTTCCATTTCATTTTTCCAGAAAACGTCATCCTTTTGAATGACGTCTATTTTCAAACCATACGGGGTCCAAACACCAAGCACACAGTACTCTCTTTGTGCAACGTGTAGCTGCCCTTGAATTTGGTAATACCACTTATGTTTTTTATTTATTTCATCGTTTATCCAAAACGTATTTTTTTGTTCAGAATGCCCTCTTCAGGGGTCATTTCTCTAGCCGACCATGGACATTTAATTTCTAGCAGACCTTTTTCGCCTATCAAACCATCTGGCGATGCTGCCAGAAATGGATGGGTCCTATCAATAAACAACCCGCAAGATTGTACTTCTGATTGCGAATATGATTTCTCTATTTTTGCCTTTGCCACGCTTTCATGCTTTTTTCCATAGTCACATGCATTGCTAAAGAATTCGGTTGGGTATATTATAGCGTTTACTAGAGCTCTGCAACTTGTTGTATCTCTTCTTCTACAAACCTCACCAAACCGAGACGCAGTCAACCTCATTCTTCGATGAAGACGCCACAAATTGCAATCCTGAGATTTTGTGGCTTGCTCGATCCGGGAAATTTTGGAGTCGGTTTTTGCAAGTTTTTTCAAGAATTCTACCTTGGCAGCCTCTATATCTTTGTTGCTCATATCAGGCATCTCACAGAATTCCCCATAGGATGCGTTCTCTTTAGTATCAGTATCTCTGATTTTAATTTTCCTTGGTTTCAGCTTCCTTTTCAGATTTTTGTGCGCTCTCCTTTCTTCAACTTTAGCAATCAAAGAGGTTGGACTGAAACTAGGGAGTAGCCGCTTTTGGATCACACAAACAGGTCGCTGTGTATTGTGGCTCACTACGGCTGCAGCACATCTTTCTTGGTAGGATCTCTTCTTGCAATAATTAATCCGTTTACCCCCAATGAATTTAGCTATGATTGAGTTAAACTGCTCTACAATACTATTATCGACGTCATGAAGTGAACTTACTGCATTTTTAATCAGAATTGCCAGAAATGATATCAGCCTCTGGTGCAAATCTAAAAAAAAAAGGGTATACACACCTGAATTTGAATGTTAGATAATGCATATGCGAAACCTTGCTGTCATTTTTAAGCTAAAATAACATATAAAATATAGTTGTAATAGTAACTACGTATAGTCTAATTTATTGGCAAAATGAATGCTAAAATTCATAATTGTTTTGGTACCTACCTTTCTATCTGGAAAACGTTTTTTTTTTCCTGTGCGTATTTAAATGCGGCTTCTTCGAGACGCCACGTTTATTTCTCTTATTGTTCATTTTTGATACCTTGATAAGAAAGACACTCAACAGTAACAACACAACAATAACAACACGATAATACAACAATACAATAACGGTAATAAGAGTAATAAGGGCTGAGTATACTATGCGCCAAAATAGGGAAACAGTCGTACGCCAGAGCGTATATCCAAATCAAATCCGACTCTGTGTAATATGCAAATTCAACCAGGCACGCGAACAGCACACCTCTGCGTATTACTATCCTTTTCTAACGTAGAGCGCTTGCCTTGTCACAACGCCGTCCTACTAGCGTTTCCCTATCACCCCCCCCGATACCCCTCAGAAACTCTGCTTGACTGTGAGAGCGCCGTTAAGGCACAGTGAAAACAATTCCCATGATATCAACAATATTCAAATTCCCAGTATTCTTATAAGTGTTCATTTTTTCTGCGTGATATTGGGTGAGGTGAATAAAAGAGAGTAAATGCTTTTACTTCATAATTGTAAAGTAAATTCTTGGCAGTAAGTAATAAAACTTTTACTTGTACTTGTCAAGCAAACACTTGCTATCTCGAGTTATTACTCCTAAAGTAACTATTTTGAGTGTTCACTTACGATTATAGTGAATAACAGTAATTGAAAATTTTACGTATTAAGTAAATACTTTCATTTTCGCAAGGTTGGTTTGATGTTACCTTGCCGCAATTGATAATTTGTGTCTAAATTATGGCAGCATTTATGAATATACGTAAAGTTAAACAATATCGAGATCGAAAAGATATAAGTCCAAATAGCGCAAAACGTCTTTTAAGGTTTGAAAATGAAAATATCGATTTCATTACAAACTATTTCTTACCAGAAACCAACGAAACTCGAGGTTGTGCTGGTGACCCTGGTTTTCAAAGACGTGTTGCAAACGATTTTGATATTGAAAGAACAACAGTTTGTAAGACGGTAGATTATGTTGCACAACAAATTATGGAGAAGGCAGGTCAATGGATAGTGTTTCCAACAACCAATCGAGATTTAAACGAAGCAAAGACAAGTTGGATGGCAAAATACAGGATTCCCACCGTAATTGGCGCACCTGATTGTACCCATATACAAATTAAAAAACCTGTAGGGCAGTTTGGCGATGAGTAAGTACATAAATAGGAAAAATCTTGCTTCATTAAATGTTCAGATGACATGTGATGCAATGGAAAGGATCACAAGTATAGACGTGCAATGGCCTGGAAGTGTGCACGATAGTAGGATTTGGAGACAAAGTGCTGTTCAACAAAGACTTGCAAGATTAAAAGGGAATGCTTGCTTGCTAGGGGACAGCGGATATGGTATATCTCCATGGCTTTTAACACTATTTAGATAACCAAAAACTGAATTAGAACGGCGGTACAACAGATTACATTCAAAAGAAAGAGTTGTAATAGAACGTGTATTTGGCCAACTGAAACAGCGCTTTCCAATTCTAGCAAATAGGATTAGACTCGCAATAAGGAACGTACCAAAATTAATCATATGTTGTGCTGTACTTCATAATATTGCAGGATGAGTGGGACTATGGAATAGAAAATAATAACGACGATCATGATGCTGTCCCAGAAATTGTTGAGCAAGACCAAGGAGACATTAGACGTCTTAGTGAAGAAAAGCGCTTAGAAATAGTTCAAATAAATCAGTTTAATTCAATTTAAATAACAACATATGTTTACAACATATTTATCATAGGTAATAGGTATGAAATAAAAATTATGTAACTCTTAAGTACAGTTATTCTAATTAACACGATACTATATCTACTCGTACCAAAAGTTTTGATACACATTATACATGAGAAATTATAGATAAATTCTAATTATTCATAAATGTGTTAGAAAACTACTTTAACAAAAGATGATCTTGCAACCTAAATTCCGAATTAACTAAAGGATCGTCATTCTTTTGGGTATTAATAGCTTCGTTTTCTTGCCGACGTAGGTTTTCAGTTGGAGTTTCTCTTTTTCAATTTGTAGTCTAGTTAGTTTCAACTGCTCTAGTAGTACTAAGCGTTGAAGTTCAGGAGTTGATAAACCTACAGTTTCTTCTGTTTCTGCTGCTAACAACCTTTGTTTTTTAGAATTGTGGCCACTGGACACGGAAGAAATATCTGCAGCATGTTCTTTGCGTAAAATATGTCTCTGCTGACTACCCTTTCTTGTATCTGTTGTTGCTTCGCTTACATTTAACTGTGTGGGAAGTAAAACACATTTATTACTGGAATCTAACCCAACTGTTATTGCTCCTGGTATTTTACTATTTTCTTCAGCATTTAAAATTTCTCGAAAATCTTTTTCCCATTGAAGTAACTTGATTGGTTTATTTCCTGTTGATGACAAGTCAGTGTTTTTCTTAACAGTGCTTTTCATATTGTTAAGAAGTTTTTTCAACTGATCTATAGTTACGTTTTTCCCTGTATATTTTATGGATTCCTCTCTAATTATCATCCAGGCAGTTTCTTTTGCTGAAACCATTTTTGGTACCATTGACTTATTTAGTACTATTTTATTGTTTTGTAGCTGCAAGATTCTGACTAGCTGTGCTCGGTTATCAGAAACAAGTTTCGGTTGTTTACTTTCTTCGTCACTAGAAGACATCCTAATTGTTAGTAATCTTGAGCTTTCTTGTGTCCGAATCAAAAATATACAGAAACCTGAAGAGATTTATACGACGCGTAAGGTTTACAAAGCAAATACTCGTAAATGAGACGATTTAAATATGTGAATAAGGATAAACAAGCTAAGTCTTGCACGCGCCGCAAGTATTACCTCAATATTAACAAGTAGACCTTTCTGAGTCATGCCTTACAGTTATTCACTCATTGCCAAGCATTTGCTTCAACTCTCAAGGCAACACTTTTCTCGTAAGTAAATGCTTATGAAGTGCTTACTTGGTTTTATTCACCTTACCCATTAAAACAACCAAAGAATGTAGGCGAGCAGGTTATTAGCGATATTACATATAGATGAAGATTAAGACTTAAGCTCAAATAGAACGAATAAACATTGTAAAAGTATAGCATGCATGATCTCGTATGCTACTGAACGTTATTGTTGTACAAAGATATTAGCAGCATATGCACACAAATAAGTCACAAAGCGAGCTCAACATCAGCTAGAAGTCAGGTTGTACAGAGTATCCCAGACTATAGGGACATTTATCGAAATTCATATTAAACCCGATGTTAATAATAATAATGATGTCCGTCTTTATCTACAATTACATTGTATTACAGCCAAGTGTCAGACTTATATGGTATGTCAAAGTTTAGCATAGCTGCCACTTTTACACTTAACCATATTTGCTGGAAAGAACTTATATGTTTGGCGGGTTGAGAAATATTGTTTTAACTTTTTGTCGGATACAGGTTATGAAAATTCTTTATATACTTTAGGCCCGTATCGTCAGTCGTCCCTACAATTGTAGGGTGCCTTTATGGCCTCCTTGATTGTCATAGTTTTCTACTTCTCCGTGTCAGCGCTCTATTTTGAGGTTATGTCACAAACATCTATTTGCATCAAATTGTGCTTGCTTTTGAGTTATATCATCTTTTATCAGCCTGAAATTTCCTACAATTTAAAAAGAAAACATATCTTCACAATAGGAGAGCGCTGGCGCTGACACGGGACAAGTGTAATCTAGAAATTTTTGAAGGAGAGAAAGGAGTATGACAATCAAGGATGCCATAAACGCGCCCTACAATTGTAGGGACGACTGACGATACGGGCCTTAGGAAGGCCAATATAAAAAATAGCAACATTCTAGAGAAAATTGCGTTTAAAAATTGTAGACGTTTACACTTAGCAAAGGAAAGCGGCAACTGCGGCCTCCCACCTTACTCCTCCCCTGCCACTGGTCAGCAAACTCTCATTCCTTGTTCTCGTGCCACGCGGTAAACGTCGAGTTAGTCGATTTCGCGCACTGATTTTACATTTTCAGCTTTGTCGAGATGCCCAAACATAAGAAACGATAAAGGAACTGGAGCGAAGGTGGGCCGATAAAAATGGTGTGCATTGTCGGCGGGACGTCGACGGAAGATTCAGTAGGTCCCTTCATTGTTCCTTTTGTCGCGGAGACGAAAATATAGCAGCGGTTCATAAGTGCATCAACAACCGTCACAGATGCAGAGTCAGAAAGTTTCGTGCATGCGTTTTTTCTGAAGGGGCATCACCATCAGGTAATTGTTGACTAATTGATCTGTTTTAGGTGTAAGTTTATGAAGTTAGGTGAATGTTAGTACGGATGCATCACCGGCGTTGCAGAGTGTGCCTGACACGAAGTTTGGGATAACGTTCCGACACTGGACTATGTTGCTTGGGCTAGCAACCTGGACCTAGCTTGTTATAGTCAACTCCATACCAAGGACGAACAAAGACGTTTGGGATAACGTCGAAACATTGGACTCGGTTGCTTGGGATAGTAACATGGACCTGGCTTGTTATAGTCAGCTCTACACCACGGACGAACGAAGACGTTTGCTCAACACTGAACTCCGTTGCTTGTGATGGCAACTTGTACTTAGCTTGTGATGGCTAAGAGCCTACGACAAATAACAATCTCTTCCCATTTGCTTGTGATAGTGTTGGCTTGTGATAACCATGAAACAGGACTGTAAGTATGAACATACCTGGTTAGGAAACCGCCAAGGTATCTTTTTCCTTTATTACCAGATAGGCACCTTATGCGAGGTTATCGTTACATTTTCTTGTGACAGCAAATTCCATCTGGTTTTTGATAACCATGGAACAGGATTATAAGTATATGCACATGGTAGGTTAGGAAACCGCCGTTGTCCCATTTTTCATAGGTACATCTATGTATGCGAGACTAGCGTTACAGTTTGCTTGTGATAGCAAATTCCATCTCTTTTGCCACGGAACAGGACTATAAATATGCACATGATAGGTTGGGGAACCATCGAAGCACCGTTTTTCATTAATATAACACACGGAAATTGGGTAATTAGGTACATCTATGATAGATCAGCGTTACATATTCCTTCTGATAGCAAATTCTACCTGGTTGGTGATAGCTATGGAACAGGACTGTACAGATTAGGAAACCACCAAATTACTGATTTTCAGTAATAACAGAGATTGAATACCATTATGCCCGATTAGCGTTACATTTCGCTGAGGTGGCACTCGCACAGCAGGATGCTCTAGATTGTGAAGTCATAAAGCCCATGCATTCTCTTTCAATAGATGATGAATCACCACGATGATGCCGTGACATTAGTGTAATATTCACGCATTGTTACAGGGGTGAGAGTTCGAGGGCAGGTCTCTTTGATGGCGATATATGAATAAATTATATTCTATTCCAGCCATCTAAGGTGAACCTTGAGGTAGTGGCCACTATAAAAGAAATTGTCACACGCAGGGATGCGCGTTTGATCTCTGAACAGCAACAGGTGAGTTGTTCATGAACTGCAACTGGCAATACACTCTACTCCATGCTCAAAGAAGGGGGGCACATGCTGGCAGATATTCACCGCAGGGAATCAATTTCTCGTCAAGGGTTTATAGGGCGAATTTAAAAAACTCAGGAGTACTTTAACAGAGGCTTCAAACGTTCTAACAATATCTGCCATCACCGATTATTGCAAATGAGATACGCAGATCAGCAGAGAAATTGGCGCGCTATCATCAGTGCCAGAACTTTAGGAGTCGTGCTAAAGTCCTGAGTTGTCTTCGTGGATTCAATTGCCACTCACATGGCGACCGGTTCAGCACTCTGCCCTTACTGAATCTCATTAGTCGATCTAAGAACTATCGACCTTCGCAACAACAGTCTCTCAATTGCTGAGCGGCGGTGTGGTTTGGGGTAAATTATGCCCTTTATGTGTTCACAAAATGAATGAACCAATTCTGGCATACCTTAAGAAAAAAACATTTCTGACTCTCCTCAGCAACTACAATCCATCACATGATGGAATGAATTTTTCAAGAATAATATGCTTTAGAGCAAGATTTTATCGTTAATTTTGTTTGGTTGACACTATTTGTATCAAAAGTGGTTTACAGTTGATGTATAGCATTTGTAATTGTAAATAACGATTTATGTTATTTTTATTGATTGTGTAACAGGATCTTCTTAATGTCGTACCTTGAATATATAGTTCGGATCTCCAGTCCAATACTTCAAATTCTGGACTGGTCCGAGACCCCTCGAATTTCAAATTCTGTTACCTTTTACTTGTCTTCCTATAGGAGGTAGACTCGCGTAGAACCTGACATAAAGTAGTCAAATATTGACTCATTGAAACACTCACTTTACGCGGAATGATGCTTCCGCTGTACTCCAAGTAATCAGAGAATGTGGTAAACGCCCGAATGAATACTTTCGGAACTCTGGAACTCAGCTTCAGTTAATGAAATTAATGGAACTCAAGTTAAAGGAGACTCATTTTTATTAATAATTGCATTACAGACTCAAAACATCTATACACTCGTGAAGAGTGAAGTAGCCATGACAAAGAACAGTTAACTTAGTAAAACTAATAGGCTGGGGAAAAGATCACTGGAGGAGTGAATTACGACTAAGTTAAAAGGAACGATGACAACTAAATTACAATAAATTTAAGTTTGAACCTAATAGCAAAATTAAACTCTAGAATCTCAACTTAACAATGCTAATTAATCAAGCTAATGCATAGAATCCTTAGTTGACTCGGTGTTAGCTTTAGCCAGAAGGGCTAATAAAGATGGGAAAAGCCCCCTTTTAAGTAACTGGAAGTGCTTACTGATGAGAACACAACTTGACAAAAATTCTACCAACACTTATTAACAGCCACTAACTGAGGGAAAATCGAAGCAACTTTTTCAACCGTACAAATCAAAGATAAGAGAAGAACTGAAGTTTTTAGTTTCAAAATTATCGGAGGTCAGTTGCGGATTTTCCCTCCATCAGAAGGCTGGTCACTTTTCTTAGTGAGTTCAACCCTTGTCTCCTCATTGGTCGATCAGTTTACAACCGTTGCAAAGGTCGTCTGAATCTCTAAGGATGGAAACTAACCTGACCAATGATTGTTAGACTTAATTTTTGAACTCAAAATGACCTTAAACTCTATTGGTTAATTACGTTCCCTTGTCCCACCTCAAGGAGTGTCGTCAGCGTACAGTCTTCCATTAAGTTTACGCAACACGCCTTCTTCAGTGGCGTCTCGAGGCTTTAATTGCTTTGGGGCAAACCCTGCAGTTTTCAATAATTTCAATGGATTGGGAATTCCTGTAATGCTGAGGCCACAATTCGAGATGTCCTCTTAAATAATTATACATAGCATTTAGGTAAAACTAACGGTGACTCTCTTCTGGAATTTTTTTATATATTTTTAACAAAATTAGCTTCATTGGAACTACGCAGTCTTTCGTTAGTTTCACCTGCTCCTCTCTAATGATAATTTCCAAACCGCATCTGTCAACGCGTACGTTTGTCTCCTCTTTTTCATATTTTCCCACAATTATGACAATTTTTAGTAATATGCTAGCCTTCGGGAGTCTTACATATCCCATGATACGCCTCTGATGGTTGAGATTCAAATTTCTCGGCACTCCCTTGGTTGTAACTTTATAGTTATAGCAACCAAATGTTATTA